GTGGTCAGGAAAGGCTTCCAAAGAAGGGACACTGAGGCTGAACAGGACAGCAGCTGTTACAGAGGCAAAGGCCCAGGTAGTGAAGAGTGTTCTGAACAGACACATGGCACATCTGCAGGAGTCAGGCATCTGAGGAATTCTATGCAAACTATGGGGTCCTCAGTTCTGTTCATCTGCGAAAAGATCATTTCTATCATTTCATACAAGTAGCTTTTGTGCTGGTGGACTTCACACTTTTCCAGCAAATCTCACTGTCAGAGCAAGCACCAAAGTGGGCTCCGCAGCTTGGAATGAAAAAGCAAAATGCCCAGATAAGGGGTGACCTCATGTTTGCGCCCATGAGATGAAGCTGGGATAGGGAACAAGCCCCATGAGAAGAGAAAGAGAAGGAAGTATAAGATCAGTCGCCTTCCAGGTAGAGTTCTGATTTTTAGTTGCTTTTATTATCCCAGAGTTCTATCCCTCCATACTGGCTCACACTGTTTTCTTTCTGCACCTTTTACTGACAAACAGTTGTGTATTTCAGTTTCTTCATGGTTCGTCTTTTTATTAAGTCCTTCTTTACCTGCAGAAGAAGAAAAAATATCCCTACTTGGAGCTGAGAGGAAAGGCATTCCTGGTTACCCTGGGCCAGGTCAAGTCTTCCTGCTCTGTGTGTCCACAGCACCTGGGGGTCCCCATGATAGCAAACACTTCAAGTCATAGAAATCACTAATTCAGTTGTCTCTCTTCCTCACTGTGGGCTCGTAGAGGGCAGGGATCCTCTCTGTATTGGTCAGTGCCTGGCACCAAGTAGTACCCCAAACACAATCATTGAATGGATGATTGGATGGGTAAGTGGATGGATGGATGGATGGATGGATGAGTGGATGGGTAGATGGGTCGGTGGGTGGGGGGTGGGTGGGTGGAAAAATGGATGGAAGGGTGGGTGATGGATGGATGGATGGATGAGAGGATGGGTGGGTGAGTAGGCAGGTGGGTGGGTACGTGGATGGATGAATGGGTGGGTGGGTAGATAAATGGTTGAAGATCATTGTTCATCTTATCACAGTAGTCATTAAAATTGGCAGTAGCCCATTAACTCATGCCAACTGTTGTGATCACAGATATAACTGCTGCTAACGATTCTCATAGCTTGCTTGTACTTTCAGAGACATAATTATCAGTGCCTATAAGCCACGCCGCAGGTAGCACGGGGACAGATAGAAAGCAGTACCTCAGGTTTAGAAAGTCCCTTGTGATTTGCAAAGCACTTTCGTTCACATATGGCACTTCATTTAAGTGTCATAAGAACCTCATGAGGGAGATTCACCAGGGGAAGCAGAAAAGAGTCCTGATTAAGAGTGTGTCTCTGGACCCAGACTGCCTAGGTTCAAATCCCAGCTCTACCACTCACTAGTCGTGATCTTGAGCAATTTTCTTCATCTCTCTTGGCCTCAGTTTCCTCATATTTTCTATGGGATAATAAGATTTCATAAAGTAGTTTTGTGGATTGACAATAATAATCGTACTAATTTGAGTGCTTACTATGTTCTGGGCTTTGTTCTAAGTATTTTAAATGAAATAAATCGTTTAAGCTTCATAACACCTATGAGGTAGACTCTTATTCCCTTCTTCTTTTTGTTAAGATAATGAAATCAAAGTTAATTTCCCTCCCATTCAGCTGGAAGATGAAGGAGCCAGAATTTGAACTCAGAATTGGTGGTTTCTGGAGCCCTATGCATAATCCCTAGCACCATCTCTGAGACAGCTGTTTCTGTAAAGCACTCAGAGTCCTTGGTGCCTAAGAAGTGCTCAATAAATGCTTATCATGTGCCAGTCATGCAATGTTATGTATCAGTAGCCCCAAATTATAGATGCTGAAGCTGAGCCAGAGAAGCCAGGCAACTAGCTCAGAATCACAGGTGATTTCTACCGCACCAGTAAGTTTAGTGCAGGTGTGGGGTGGTAAATGTTCACTGGCTTTGCCTTCACCAGATCCAGGCTTGTTATGTAAGTGCCAAGGACTGAGGCCCCCTGGGGCTCCAGGTCAGTCCCAAGTTCCTTCTGGACAGAGAGTCTGCATCTGCTCATCTCAGCTCTTGTCCCTGAGAAAGTAAAGCCTATTCTGGAAAGTTCTTTGTCAAATCCCCTCCCCAGCACTTGCCCCCCTCCCACCCAGCAGGGGTTCACCCTTCCCCCAGCATCTGAGACCCGTCTCTCCTAGAAGCCCCAACCACCGCATTGGCCTGAAGGAGCCCTGACCTCATTTCCTTCCTTCTGCCCCACCTGTAGCCCGTTTGCCTCATTCTATCCTTGTCTTCCTCCAGCCATTTGGTTTTTCTCTACCCAGCTTCCTAAATATACACAAAACACATTTACACTGAGCAGGCAGCAGGAAAAGCACTGCTTAATGCAAAAACCCCCACCCGCTCCCTGCACTGGGCCTAGTGCCTCATCCAACCCTGAATGAGGGCCCACATGTTCTCAGAGGTCTCTCCTTGCCTCCTGTGGCTGGCCCTAGACTGGGAAGGGAGACGTGTTGAGGCTCTGCACTAACTTGCAGCAGGAGGAGGAGAGCACTCAATCCAAATTGCAAATACCAACACTTTCCTCAGAGAGGCGTAGCATCCTAGACCAGCACCCTGCCAGCCCCTTCTTACTGGGTGGTGGGCAAGAGTCCAAAGTTGAAGTTTTAAAAGATCTTCCACTTCCTGGGACCTTCCCACCGTGTGACCTTGGGCAAATGACTTCACCCTTCTGAGCCTCATTCTCTTGGTCTATGAAATGGAGATAATTATAGTATCCACTTCACAGGGTTGTAGAGAATGAGATAGTTATCTATTTGCTTTTCATTCATTCACTTATTCATTTAGCAATCATTTACTAGGTACCTACAAGGAGCTAAGTGCTTTTCTAGCCAGAGCAGCACACAAAACCTGCTAACCTCACCCTCCTAGAATTTGCCTTGGATGGATGATACAGAACTCATCCCACAGCTCCTGGTACATAGTAGATGCTTAAGAAATGTCAGGGGAGTATTGCCATTGTTGTTATTCACATTCTTGGTCTCTGCCTCACCTTCTTCTCCCAGGAATACATTGTTGGGGTCAAAACTCAGGGATTCTGTGGATGGCATGTGCTCCATCCATGGCCAAGGAGCATGGCCTCTCTTGAGTATTGTAGGTGGGAGCACCAGGCGTGCAGTTTCTTTAGTGTCTCATGTCTCGGTGTCTCTTCTCGAGGCATCACATCTATTTTATGCTCTATTCCATAAGAGACTTGTTGGTCCCAGTGTAAAAATAATCTTCCTATTGCATCCCTGAGTAAAAGTTTCCCTTATGTAAGACATGTAAGGTTTCTCCTGTGGCTCCAGCTCCCTGTGACCCAGGGCTAGAAAGCCCCAAATCCAGAAACACACCGGATTTGAATATGGTTTATAATTAGTTCTCAGTAAAGTGGGAGGTAGTCAGGGGTCGGGGTAGGGGAGAGTGACTGTTTTGCCAATTTACAGATAAGTGAATCAAGGCTCCAAAAAGTGAAGGAACTTGCCCAGGGTCCCACAGCCAGGATGTGAACCCAAATTGCTCCGATGCCAGATCCTGTGTTCCTAGCAGCTGCCTGGCACAGTCCACCCACCCACAGGGCTCTTCAGAGACAAAGGCGGGAGCGCCCCCTAGGGGAGGGGAGGAGCTGGGGGCTGGGAGCCGGGAGACTCTTTCCCTCTGTGCTCCTCTGCACTCTTGCTCCCTACGGCTCTGGACAAGTGCTTTTCCCTCTCTGAGCTTCAGGTTCCCCCCTGGGAAAGTGAATTACCTCTAGAATGCCTCCAGCTCTAAAATGTGTGAAAGACGAAAGGGTTGTGAAAGAGATAAAGCAAGGGAGGAGTTTGGAGCTGGGAAGGGTGTAGTCCTGCCTTCCTTCCCCCACCCTTTTTGCTCACTGTCCTGGGCCCAGGATGGCCAGCTGTCCATGGCCGCTGGGCGGGGCTGGACCCTGTGCCAGGCCCAGCCGAGCTCAGCTGGGGCCCTTTGTCACCCAACGCTTGCTGGGGCCTCGGCCTCCGGTGTTGGGTGTCAGGGAGGATTGGATTCTCTCCTGGCAGCCCCACAGATGCCGCACTCCTGCAAGGTGGCTGGGCAGGCAGGGAGAAGCCAGAGCTCCCTCCTCCTCGGCTCCAAAGAGGGACTGGTGGCCGCTGTCCGTGGTGCTGGTCTATGGGACCACACCCCCACCCCACTCCAGGTGAGGGCTCCATGGACCTGAACTAATACAGGGACCAAGCTCTGGCCTCAATGATTCTTGTGAATATACATGAGCTGGCTTCTCTGGCCAGGCTGAGGGCCTCGATTAATATGGTGGGGGCCTGTGGGTGCAGGTGGAGGGCTTTCTCCCATCCCCATGCCTGTGAGACCTGAGTGGGGAGGGATGTAGGAGAATAGTGTATTGATGGGCACAGGTGGTATGGGGGGAAGACTTGGGGGGGAGCTTGGGAACAATGTATTTGGGGGAGTGTGTCCCAGATTGTGTGGGCATGGGGCATGTGTAAACATGTCAAGGATAGTGAGAGAAGGAGGGAAATGGAGTCTGGGTGTGCTCAGAGGGCCTGTTAGCACAGCAATTCTTGAGGAAAAAGGGTGGGGCTCGAAGCTGGTGTGTGGGGCCTGGGTGTTGGTGTGTGTGTGGCAGTGGCGCAGGGCCCAAGGACATGCCAGAAGGTATGTGTTGGGGGGATGTGTGTACACACGGGTGTGTGCTGTGAAGCGAATGTGTTCCATAGCACAGTGCACAAATAGGGAGTTAACGTGTTATCAGGATATGCCTTGAGGGTGGCATATCGTGGAGTGCCTGGGTTGGCACTACGACCATTGGATTTACAGTGTGAGCTGGTGTGTTAGGGTGTGTGTGTGTAGTCAGTATTGTTTGGGTTGCTGTGTGTGTGCCTGGGGCCTTCCTGAGCACCTGTCCCATGTGGCCTCTAGTGCCTGGCCTTTGTCACTCACTTTGTGCTTGTCCCACAGGAGCCACCACCTCTGACCATGTAGATGCCAGCTCCAGGGAGCAGCATGGGCCCCACTGAATGGAGACTCCTGGGTCTACAGCCCTGAGCCCCTACGGCCCCTGGACCTCGTCCCACACCCAGGGACATCCCTTGGAGCTCACCACTGCTGTCACCAGCTGGCCTCAGCCACCCCCACCCCTGAGGACCCGGAGTCGGCCACCTGGTGCCACAACTGACCAGTGAGGGTGTGCTGAGGACAACCACAAGCAGCCATCACCCAGCAGCCTTTTGTCCAGCACTGACCCTCGGGCCCACCCCGAGCAGGGACTGCAGCAACATGGGTGACATGACCAACAGCGACTTTTACTCCAAAAACCAAAGAAATGAGTCGAGCCATGGGGGCGAGTTCGGGTGCACAATGGAGGAGCTCCGCTCACTCATGGAGCTGCGGGGCACTGAGGCTGTGGTCAAGATCAAGGAGACTTATGGGGACACCGAAGCCATCTGCCGGCGCCTCAAAACCTCACCTGTTGAAGGTAAGTGTCTGAGACTTGAACCCAGGGCTACAGCCTAGGCGGCCACCGTCTGAACTGCCGCAGGGGCCATATTCATAATGTGTAACAGCAGGGGTGTTTCAGAAAAAGGCTGAAATGCCAGAATGGCCATTGTAGTGTATTCTAGCTGAGTGTCAGCCCCTCTGGAAAGGCTGGAGAACAGAGCCTCATCACTGGCTGGGCATGACCCAAGCCACCTGCAGACAGAACAGCAGGAAGAGAGCTGGGTCAAGACTGTGTTCTGGAGACAAGGGACCCCACAGCCACAGAGTGGCAAGCTCCACATTCTATAAATATGGGAGGCACCAGTCTCTGAGGCAGAGGCAGAAGGGCCACTGGGTGGGACCAGCATGGAACCTGCACCCAGGCCCAGGAGGGATTTGTGCTTTCCCCACTTATTCCACAATGGTTGGCTTTGAGGTTCCAACCATCCAGGCCCAGTTCTTCCTTCCTTAAGCCCCAGGAATTCTCTAGTGTGGGCTTGAGTGTGGAACCGTAGCACCACCAACGTGCAGCCAATCCTCTGCTGCTGGACTGGAATCAAGTCTCTCTGCCAAATCCAGACTCTGGTTGGGGGTTGCTGGGGTTCTGGGGCATCACGGCTGTAGAGTTGCTGGACAGACAAAGCAGTAGGAAGATGGCTGTGATGGGAAGGGTGACAGCTGTCCTTGTGTGTCCTGCCCTGAGGGTGGAGTGGGGCTTTCTTGCACCTGTCAAAATTGAACAGGCCTGGGATCTCGAGAGAGAGAGAGTGTTTCAGTTCCTGGGGGCTTTTCTGGAGGGGTCCAAAGCTAGGTCCTCTGCCCCAAAACAGAGACAAGGGAAGCCAGCCAGGCTTGAGCACCAGAGCTCATGGTTTGGGTGACCTGCCACAAGTTACCTTCCGCTCACCATGGAAAGGAAGCATTCCATACGTAAACCCTACAGGTATATGTGTGAGGCTCTGTGCTGACACTCTCAACCCTGCAAGTTTGTGCAAGGCTGCACCAAGCCTCAGTTTTCTTCTCCTGGAAAATGGGCCAATGCCTGCCTGCCAATGCCTAGTGTAGGACTGGGCATTCAATAGTGCTCGAAGTGGCAGCCATGACTATTCTAAGGAGAAGTGGATGTCAGTCCCTTCCCTAGATATAACTACTACCTGGGAGGCAGGCAACAGCTGAACTGTTATCCCCTATGACAGAAGAGGAGCCTGTCTCCTCTCTCCATTCCTCTGAGCCCCAGGCCCTGCTGGACTCTAGCCCTGGGAGCATTTCCTGCAGCGGCTGCTGGGTTCCACCAGGGCTTGCCTGGCAGTCCAGGAATCACGTGTGCCTACACTCCACTGCACCCAGCAACTCCCAGCTGTCTGTGTCCCTCTTTGTCTTCTCTCCTGGGTCAGAAAGAAAAGCTAAAACTGGTTCTTCTTCCCACATTGACTATTCTTACTGACACTTTGTCCACGAGCCGAGCCCAGGCAGAAGTTTAGAAACACGTTTTCTCACTCAGTGCTATTTGTTTTGTTTCGGTGGGGAGGGTGGGAATAGAGGATGTAACCTTTCCTCATAGTACAATTCTGGTGTGAGGTTTAAAAACAGCTGCATGTGGCCCTAAGATGGGCATAGGCTTTGCTTGGAGACTTCTGGGTCCCAGCCTCTTGTGGTCATTTATCCCTGGCAGAATGGTCCGTGCTCCCCTCCACCATCAGGTTGGCAAACAAGAACTGCTGGCAGGCAAGGTTGTTCAAGTGGCCTTTGCCTGTTAATTAGGGACTGAGAGATTGCCGTGAATCAGGAATCTTAAATGTCTCTGGGCCCCAGTCCCTGGGGAGAAGCTGATGGGCACTGTGACCCCTCTCTCCAGAAAATCAGCCAACCACATGCAACAGGTGTGGCTCACACTATTTGTAGGTTTCCAGACTCCCTAGAAGTGGGGTATGGACCCTAGTTAAGAAAACCACCTTCCCCTCCCACCAGAAAGGCTTCCCAGAGCTGGGAAGTTGGACAGCACATGACCAAGTTCCAGCACCCTTGCAGAGCCATTTCTGGCCGGCTCCTGGGAACCCACTCTGTACTGCTGGGGGGAGCATTGCCCACCTGAGGCAGGAACTCTGTCTGCTCTGTCTGTACATCCTGTGCCCAACCTGGTACCTGTCACAAAGGAGGGCCCAGTAAAACCCTGAGACACAGCTACTAAGTCCCAGCCTAAGGTAGGGGAACTCTCAGACAGCTAAGCAACCCAGACTGCAGATGATCAAGACCAAGTGCAGCAAGGGCCCCAGGACTCAGTAATGGTAAAGCAGCTGGGCAGTGAAGGTCAGAGAAGGCTTCCTGGAGGAGGTGTTTGGACTTGGCTATGGAGGAAAGAGAAGGGAAAGCCCATGTAGTGTGGCCTACAGCAGCGTTTCTTAGAGGGAATTCCACAGAATAATTGGTATGCTGCAAGAAGTGAGGCTTTGGGTGAAAAGTGAAGAACTCTGTTTCCTCGTCTGTGAAGCGGAGACAATAATGACATCTCTCGTGCTCTGTGCCTGCCAGCCATGTGCCTTTGGGCCTTTTTGTCTGACCTCTCTGAGCCTTGGTCTCCTGATTGTTCATGAGAACCAAATGAGATCTCTGATGGGCAAGATCTCTGAGGAGAAGGAAAGCCCATCATAGGATTCCCTGGAGCTCCTGCCACATTGGTCCCTAGAAGTATCTCCCAAGGGGCTGGGAGGGGCAGGGCTGGGAGAGATTTGGGGAGAGGCAGAAGAGCATAATGCCACAGACCCAAACTTGGACATCCCGGGTTCAAATCTCAAGTCTGCCACTTACCTGCTGTGGGACTCTGGGCAAGTTATTCAAACTCTTTGTGCCCCCATTTCCTCATCTGTAAATCAGGGTTAGTAATAGTGGCTACCTCACAGGGCTGGGGAAGGACAAAGTGAAGTAGCTTAGAACAGTCCCTAACACACAGGTAGTTCTTTGTGGTGAGATTCAGCCCCAGAGACTAAACACCTCCATTTCCCCATCGATAAAATGGGCTGTGAATACTGAATAAGATTGGATCCCAGCATCAAAGTGCTCAATAAATGTCAGCTCTCAGTATTGTTTTCATTATGAGGATCATCACTGGGGAAAAGGTGGGCACGTTCTCCGGAAACGGTGGAATGGTGGCCAATGTCCACACATCAGAAATACTTTGTACAAGGCTGTTACGCATCTCTATGACGTGCTCCTGGAAACAGGTGCTGTTATCCCATTTTATGGAGGGGGGTATGAGGGCTCGAGGTCACTGCCACAGTTCATGTCAGAGCAGGCTTTGAACACAGCCCCATACTCAGACCTGAGCCAAGCATGGCCACCTGGGAACAGTCCTCTGGCGTCCACTGTAGGATGATGCCTGAATAGGGTGGGGTCAAGGGACACCTCCTTTACTCTGTCTCATGAGGAGCATTTGTCCCACCCTACTTGGCCGTCTTTTGATTTAGAGAAATGCTTGGCCCAGCCCCAGCCCCAGCCCCAATTTAAAAGCTCAGTGGTCTAGGCTGTGCCAGCTTCAGACACAGGGGCTTAGGTTGGCCATTCCCGACACCCTCTACCCCTAATCTGCTGATGTGAGCAGGGAGCTGGCCTCTGAGTCACACTGCAGGAAACGCTCCAGGCCATGCATAAATTAGCCTTCCCATTCAAGTCCAGCTAATTTTAGGCAAAAAGATCTCTGCAAGTAACAAATGGGGTTTGAGGCCACAGGGAATCTGTGCTCACCCAGGGCACCAGCAGCAGCCAGCTCAGGGTGTGGCTCAGCTCCCACAACCCGGCAGTACTGGACAACCCACCTGGAGACCCAACTTTGGTGACACCTGTTGGGTAAACCTGCCCCCTGTGAGGCTGTGAGGCCAGGGGCAGCCTCTGCCCCTGTCTGAGCTCCACTCCTTTCCTCTCCCACTGTTGGTTTTGTTGATTCTGATTAACAAGTTTATCTTCTTACCTCTACGGTTCCCTTTCCCTCCACACCATTCCAGCCAAGGATGGTAGAATCCCAGAAACCTGGGCTCAAATCCTGAGTGTCTTTATCTTCAAGGGACACTGGGAGAGTTCAATTTAACCTCTTTGAGCCTCAGCTGACTTAATTGCGAAGTGAGGGTAATAACAGTACCCACGTCAAGCAAATGGTGTGAGGATTAAATTAGATAAGCCACGTGCAAGGCAGACCCTAGACACCTGCAAAGTGATGTTTATTATCATTGTTATTACACCCCAGTGTTTCTTTTACAACAACATGCATGGGCCCCATCCCCTTGAAAGAATTAGGCAATCAGATAAGACAGTGGCTGTGCCCAGTGCAGAGTTAACATGCCATCAGAGGAGGTGGAAAAATGAGTGACTAGTGTCAGGTGGTCCAGGAGGCCTGGAGGCAGGAGCTCTGTCATTTTCCACCATATTTCTTGAGCCCCCAGGCAATGCATCAGTTCTCTAGCACCTGATGCATTGCCTGGGGGCTCAAGAAATATTCATGGAAAGAAGAAAAGGAGGAAGAAAGAAGAGGCAGGGGATGTCCCAGTGCCCCTCCTTTCATGGGACAGAAGGCTGCAGGCTTGGGGAGAGACACAGGACACCTGTGTCACTCATAGAACAGATGGCTCCAGTTCTCTGAGCCCAGTGTTGCACTGCCCTGAGCCATTGCACACACAGCCCTCGTTGCTCACTTCCTGACACCTGCACCCACCTTGGGTTGTCACAAAGGGCGACGATGATAGGTTGCTCTTGGGTGTTTGCCACATAGTGTGTTTCCTGGCGGGGTTGATAAGGGGGACAAAGATGGGGCAGCAGTAGGGTGGAATGGGAACTGGATACTGCAGAGTGCTGTGAAACGGAACCTCCGGTTAATTTTGTATGAATCCCACAGCCTGCCCAAGTGGAGGAGAGAGCAGGGCTGAGGGAGGACGAGAGAGCAGATCATGGGAGATGGCGGGTGCTTTGTGCTGCATGTGAATATGATATTGAATGAGAACATCCATGGGGCTG